AGACCAATGGTCTCATAAGATCATCGGTCTTTTAATTTAGACCGGTCTTTTAGACCGTCGCTCTAATAAAAAAATTTTAACAAATATGCCGCGAAAAAATATTTTAATGTTTTTAAATTTCAAAATTACTTTTACTCTATATATTGATGTATATTCTATTCATACTAATTATCTTCAACTACTATAATTTCACCCTCCGACCCTTCACTTTTTGTTTCAATTTCCATATTTAATTTGTCTTTCAATAATCCATTTTGAATCCAACTCTTTAAACAAAGGCATGCTTTAGCTGTTTCAGGATGTAATCATTTATATATTTTAAAAACGCGTAAATGTAACACGTAAAAACACGTCAATTTCTTCCCGGGTTCTTACTAAACTTTCTTTACCATCTCGATACTTAATACTTAAATTAACATTTCTTCTAAGCCATTGAGTTCATAAGTTAAAATATCCACTACTAAAAAACTTAGCTCGGGTGATTTTGAATAAGGCTCCATAACCTTTTTTAGAATTCTTTCTTTCTAAGCCTCCTCAATTCAGCACTAAGGGGCAGTTCGGATTAGAACACGTTAAATGAGAGATTCCAATTTGGCAGTTATGTAAGGTTAAGGGGCGATCGATCGATAAGACGATAAGACCATCTGTTATAAGACCGTTAAAAAAGACCGATCCTATGATCAATCCTGTCGATCCGTCCCAAGAAAGATTGGTATAAGACCGGTCCTATGACCGGACCAATGGTCTTTCGGTCTGGATAGGATCGTTCCCATCCCTAATTACAGTATTTATAAGCTTTTTACACGGAAATATTTTTGCTGATCAAGCAGTATTTTTTTACATATGGACTGATTTGACTCCGTTCGATTTTATCACTGATGTGACAAATCATGACAGCCACTAAAAACAGATTACGTAATAGAATATATATATAGGAATAAAATTTAGCTGTCAGGGATCAACAGTGCATAGTGTAATTTGGTTTTCTGATAATCATAAATTCAACAAATTTTTATTTCTTAGTAAAAAAAAATGTCTTCAAGAGAAGATTCGAACCTCGTTTCAAGAGCGTTAAGGTAAGTCTTTTTTAATTCAGAAACTCAAAAAAATAAGAATTTTCTGCAAAAGTCAACTTTAATTTTTTCTCGATTAGTTTTTGGAATTCTATTCAATATTCATATACACCAATATCAGCAACCTCAAACCGTTCACCTCGTCCACCTCAAACTCCACAAATTCCGCGTGGAGCACAAGGATCACCGGGTACATCAAACTTCCAAAGTTTCAACAATCGTTATGATAAAGCTTTGGAAGAAATTAAGAGATATGAAGATTTTACTACAATTGGTATGATGAACAATTTATTTTGTTTACATTGAAAATTTACCTTTATATTTAATATTTTTATTCGTTCAAGATTGGGTTCAAGATGCAATACACGAGCGATCTAGAATGAATGCTTTGAGAAATGCAGCAATAGAAAATCGTTCTTCATGGAGTACTTGGTTACGCCTTTCTTATGAAGCTAGTCAATCATGGATTGTTGTGTCTATAGTCGGTTGTTTTTTACTTCATATATATTGTCAATGTAGAAAATAATTCGCATCGAGTATGTAAATGTTTATTTTAATGTTCTGTAGGAGCGTTTATTGGTTTGAATGCAGCTTTAATCGATATTATCACAGAATGGCTATCAGATATAAAATCTGGATATTGTAAAAATTCCTGGTGGTTAAATCAAAAGTTTTGCTGTTGGGAAATCGAAGGAGAAGGTAAATAATTTCTAACATTCATTTCTTTAATTAGTTTGTTATTTTTATAATATAATAATTTAGTACTTGGTTTTTTTTTTTAAAAAAAAAAAAGATGATTCTTGTGAGCTTTGGCATGATTGGTCCCAATATAACATTATAAATTGGTTTTTTTATGTAGCATTCGCAGTAAGTCTTGTATTATTAATTGATTTACGTTTATAATTCTTTAAATTATCATAATCTAATAACGAATTCAGACTTTATTTGCGGCAGTCTGTGCGTTTATGATACGTGCTTTCGCGCCGTATGCCGCCGGATCTGGTATTTCGGAAATAAAATGTATTCTTGCCGGATTTGTAATGAAAGGTTTTCTTGGAGGTCGAACATTACTTTTGAAGAGTGTTTGTTTGGTAAATAACGTGAATTAATTCATTTTTATATGATATCAAGCAATTGGGCAAATAATTTTTTTTTTTATCTTTAATAGCCACTAGCAATTGCATCCGGATTAAGTATTGGAAAAGAGGGACCTTCAGTTCACACTGCAGCTTGTGTTGGAAACATCGTTTCACGATTATTCAAAAGAAATAAAGGTTTGTAATCTTTATTGTTATTTTATTTTAAGACTGAAATTCTGATGTTTTCATTTGTTAACAGCCAAAATGCGAGAGATTTTATCTGCCTCTTGCGCGGCAGGTGTTGCCGTAGCATTTGGCTCTCCTATTGGCGGTGTTTTATTTTCTTTCGAGGTTGGAAACTTTATATATCATTTAATTTTCAAGATATATTTTTGTATATTGATTTGAATAAATTCTTAACATGCAGGAAATGAGCTCAAATTTTCCTATGAAAACTCTTTGGCGAAGCTTCTTTTGTGCTTTAGTTGCCACCGTAGTTTTACAGGTTAGTCTCATTCTTGCAATTTATTTAAGCATTATTATTTTTTGGTTAATAAATTAACATATTCTATCAAGGGAATGAATCCATTCAGGACTGGAAAACTTGTAATGTTTCATGTTACCTATGATCGAGAATGGCATTTTTTCGAAATTATCTTTTTCATCATATTGGGCGTTTTTGGCGTATGGAACCTTAGATTTAATTTCCTTATTTCCAAAGAAGGTTAACCTTGCTAATTTTTTTTTTAAAAAAAATTTAGGGTTTATATGGTGCTCTGGTAATAAAATATAATATCAAAGTGCAACATTTTCGAAAGAAATATTTGAGAGGTTATGGTGTTGCAGAAGCTAGTGCACTTGCTTTCATTACCGCTTTAATTGGATATTTTAACATCTTTATGAAATTAGATATGACTGAAACTTTGGGTATTCTTTTTCAAGAGTGCGAATCTAAAACTCACGATTATGAAAATTTATGCGTGTATGTGATTGATGGCGAAAGTTAAGAATGCCGTTGTTTCATAATCACAGAATGTCTAATTTATACATTTTCCAAATGATTTAGTGATTCACAAACGTCTAGAATGGCGCGTTTATTATTAATTGCAACAATACTCAGAACCGGATTTGTCATAATTTCTTACGGAACCAAGGTATTTTTTCTCATCATTTTTAATTTAATTGGTTTAATTCAAAACATCAATTGTTTAGGGTTTTTTAATTTAGGTTCCAGCAGGAATTTTTATACCTTCTATGGCAGTAGGAGCTACTTTTGGTAGATTTCTTGGCCTTTGTGTTAAAGCTTTGCAAAATTCATATCCAGAATTTCCATTATTCGCAACATGTAAACCTGATACAGCAGTAAGTACATATTTCTTGTTTATTAAAATTATGTTGGTCGTTGCTAATTTAGCCTTGGTATGCAAGTGTGTTACACCAGGAATGTATGCATTTTTGGGAGCTGCAGCTGCATTGAGGTAGTTTTATCATCATAATCATCATCATTATTGATTATCTTATTTAATTAATTAAAGGAATAATTTTATATCTATAGTGGAGTTATGCATTTAACAGGTTTATATATATATATATAATTAAGTACATAATTTTTATTCAGTGTATATTATTAAATAGCAATCCATTTATTTATTTATAGTTTGTGTAGTTGTTATTATGTTTGAGTTAACAGGAGCTTTAACTTATATTTTGCCGACAATGGTAAGTTTTCTTTGTAGATTATATATTATTAGAAAAGATATTACGAATGTTATTATTTCTTTCAGATTACTTTGATGGTTACAAAGGCTGTTGGTGGCTTGTTTGTAAAAGGTGGAATATATCCTTTTCTTAATATCATTAATTATTGTTTGATTTAATACTTGATACATATATATATATTCGTTAACTAAGACATACTGCTGATCAAATGATCAGACTAAACGGGTTTCCATTTTTGGATAAAGAAGAATATTCTTTTGGAGTATCCGGTACAACAGACATTAATGTTATTTCATGATTTATAAATATAACAGAAACGAATGAATTTTTTTAACATTTAATATTATTTTAGTCGCAACTGTTATGAGAAAGAAAGGACTAGCAGTAATGCCTGCTATTGGTAAAAGATTAGAGAAGATTGGTAAGTAGAATTATATTTAAAACGAACCAATCCTTATTTTTATTATGTAATAATATAAATTTGTATTTTAAGATGAAATGCTGTTGGACACAAATTATCAAGGATTTCCAGTTGTACAAGATGAACAAAGTATGACTTTATTAGGTTACATTGGGAGAGTAGAATTAAAATATGCTATAGGTAATAATATTGTAAATGAATTTTGCTTTTAATTGTTTTTGCTTATTTAGAACTTTATGTTGATATTTTTATTTTAGATAAGGCTAAGAGACTTCGTGGAACGTCAAATGATGCACATTGTTTTTTTAACCCTGAAGATAATTTTTCGGATCATGATAATAGTGGAGAAAGTTCATCAAATTTTATCGATTTCGGGCCATTCATAGACCAGGTTAAATAATTTCTTTTTGGTATTATTAAAAATATATGTAAAGTCATAGTACTAATGTAATTTATATTTAACAGACGCCGATCACTGTACATCCGAAATTACCGCTTGAAACGGTTATGGATTTGTTTAAGAAAATGGGGTTAGCGTTCTTTTTTATATTCAATAATTAATATTAAGATGAGGTTAATATATATTTTTCTTTTTTAGACCACGTGTTATTCTCATAGAACATGAAGGTAGATTAGTAGGACTTATAACCGTAAAAGATGTGTTAAAATATATTGCAAGGAAAGAGGCTGAAGAGGGAAAGGATGTAACAGATTTAGAACTAACTAATAACGATATTGATGATAGTAATAGTAATAGTTTTGGTTTGGTTGGAAGGAAAAGAGGTATAAATTTAATAGACTTAGGGAAGAGAAGAGAGAACGATTTATAGCGGCTTATTTTTTTTGGCGAAGTTTATAAAAAAAGGAATAATTAAATTCAAGAAGAAAATCAAGAAGATAGAAAGTGTCTGAAGTATACAAGTAAATAATAATTAATTACATATACTGAACAATATATTTTAATAGATTATTAGTACCATTTGTAAAATTAGATATATATTTTTCTTTTTGAGAATTTCCTAAGACACGCCATGGCAAATTCGTTATGATTGGGAGATTATGTGAATTAAGAAGATTAATTTTTTAAAAAAGGTTAATTTTCTAAAAAAATATCGTAAAATTTAAATTACTCTCCGGTACCATTATACTGTACTTATGAAAGATATTTAAATATAAGACTGATTTTATTTCCTTAAGATAGCATGCATTTTATGATATCTCTATCAAATAGATTCCGAATATTAAAATGGACAATCAAGAATTTAAATCACAATAATATAGCGTTATGATAAATTTTTATATCACGATATACCGTATGATTTTTTTTTTTTTTACTACCGAGACATCAAGAAAATAAAAATGGATGGTAAACAAAATGTCATTTGAATGCAACATGATGTCCATCGTTGGTAATTCCCATTTTGAAGAATAGAGATGGGAATCCCAAAGTTTTATTTTTTTTAAAAGTACATTAAAAAATATTATTCGAAAGAATATTGAGACACCAAAATATGACAAATAATTGGGTCCTTTGCAATAGAAATGGAGTTAATTACAAAAATTATTTAACTTACTTTGAGAACATTATTTACATAATTTCCGAGATTTTTTTTTTTTTTTTTTTTTTGAATGATCTTATTTTTTTTTTAAAAAAAAAAATGTTTTCTGAAGCGAAGTTTTGAACCCAATGCTCCTATAAAATTCTATCATAAAATTAGCCTTTGACTATAAAAAGCTCAGTAATATTGGGTTTACTGTTTCATCTATTTTGCAGAAGTTTTTTGAGAAAAATTCGACCAGCACATTATTTTCTTTAAATTTGCGTGAAAAATGCAATTAGTTGTCAAGGAAATTCATTAAATATTTCGAAAGTGATAATATATTCATATTTTACATACTATTTTGAATACTTCACTACCTTTCTTACCTTTCTTAAAGAGAATATTTAAGAGCTAACCTATAATCCATAAAAGCTCGTAATACCTAACTTCCATTTTCTCTTTTTTTAGTTAAATATTTATAATATTGCTTTTTTAATCGATTTTGAAGTTAATTTGGACTTGCAAATATGTTTCCCCCATTTCTATAGTATTCATGGTGGTGGAGGCTTTCTTTGAATGATACGGAAATTTCAATCTCTCTTTTGAATTAGAACATTTCTCAAATAATAATAAATCTCGCTTTATTTTATGCAAAACGTTCTAGAGAATTATACGAGAACAGATAGTTAAAGTTTTACGTGTGGTAATTTCCAGAGTTCTTATACATGAATTTTTTTTTTTTATTATAACGTTTCAAATATTCTAATAAATCTCAATTTTTTTTGCTCATTTTTGTATTTTCCATTGTCTTATTAACATCAAATTTTTTTATATGATATGATGAGTATTTGGAGTGATAGTTGCTTTTAGTTCTTTGAAAGCAAAATAACCACAAGAAGGACAATTCTATTTTTCGCAAATGATATATGATTTTAATAAAAAATATATAGTTATTTTATCAATAAAGGGTAATACCGAAAAGTCTATCTTTGATAAAGTTATTCTTCATGAAATAAGTTACTTTAATATAGTTTTGGAGGTTAATTGCTAGAAAATCAGGTTCTAGAAATTTTTTAACAAAATTTCGATTTTTTATTGCATTTTAGTTTTTGATGTTATTAGATAGCATTCATTTTATTTACCTAATTAAATATATGCAATAGAAAATAGAGAAACTGCCGGGAAAAGAAAAAATGAGTAAAGTAAAAATAAAATTGATTTCTCTTTTCTATTGCATATAATTTAGCAATTACAATATTTTTCTGATATTATTATTGTAATTAATAGTCATTTTAAAAAATTTTATTACCTTTAAAGATTCAATATATTAAACCTAATTAATCTGTTCAACAAAAAAAGGATGCTTTTTTCTTCACCATAGTACAAGGAATTAAATCTAAACTTGCTTATAGCTATATCTATGTAAAACGTCGACTAAAAGAGCATTAACGCAGAACATCCCTATTATCGAGGTTTATTATTATTATCACATTTTTTAAAAAAATGGTTACGAAACCTGATTATTATTTCTGAACATGTATAGGTCTGTTTTTGTAAAACACAAAGCTTTAGGAAACAGTTTTCGAAATTCCCTTAATTATACTAAGAAAACTTGGAAAATAATATAATTGATAAAAAATTTGATTATTTAAACATTAAATTCTTCCTATCAAGCGTTCCCCCAAACGCCTTGTAAATAAATATATTTTTACTTTTTGGATTAGATTCGAAATTTTTACATTTTATCTTTGTTCTTCATCAAATGCATTGATAAACAAACAAATCCTGTACCGATAATATTAACTTTTGAAAATTTTTTTTTTTTTAAAAAAAGTTAATTCAAATTTATTGTATTTTGTTATCATGTTGTTAAAAAAGAATGTTTCTTAAATAAATATTCTGATTTTTTAACGAATTGAGGGAGACGACAAGGTTGAAGTGGTTATTTTATTATTAAAGTAATGGAAACTTTTTTTAAATGAATAATTGATGCAAAGCAAATTATGAAGCATTTAAATCAATATTTTCAGGGATTAGTGTTCTTAAATTCTCGTCTTTATGAATAAGTTATGAAATTTATATGAAGCGTATCTTAATAAAATAGAAAATTTTATGTAAAAACATATGATATGAATAAAAGAAAAGAACATAAGGGTCATATTTACCATAATTTTAATTAGGGCTTTTGGTCAATTCAATAAAAACAAAAACCTATGTAGACGTGAAATTTTCAAAATTTTATAACAAATACGTTACATGTGGGATGTTTGCTATTAAAATCGAGTTACGAACATAGTAAATCATATGATCCGTAACGTGATTTTAATAGCTTACCTCCCATTTATTCAAATTCAATATAATATATATAATTTAATTATTTATGATTTCCGTTTTTAAACTTTCATCACATACATTACGCACTATTTGTTACATTCAGTTATCATAAACATTTCAAATGCCAATAAAAATAAGTTAAATAAATTAAACATAAGAGGGAAAGTTCCAAATTCTCCAAATTATTCTAAAATGAGACTTCCGTATCTGGATCCCCATGATGGATCAGTATTATCGATCATGTCATATCTTTCGCAAAGTTCATCTTTAAGTCTCCACCAAATTGCACGCATTTTTGTTACATGTTCATCAGAAGGTTCTGATCGTGGAAAAGGAAGCCATGATGGATGATATTTGCGCAAAAATTCGCTAAGAGCTAAGCCATTTGAATTTTCATGATCAGAACCATATGACCATAATCTATGGTCATGAGCTTCGTCCTCAGTACATACAATTAAAGACGGGTGTTTTGTTATTCTACCGCGACCACCATTAAAAGCTGGAAGAAGATGGTTGGTTACTTGATGACGACTATGACCATCATTAGGCAGCTCACATTTAGAGGAGCAAAGTGGGCATCTTACTGAACAACCTAGTTTATCCCAACAAAATTCTTTTGATACTTCCAAATGTTCTTGTATTGTTTTTATTGTTTTACTTTTTTCTGTGACAAACCATTCAGTTTGAAAATCTTTAAGACCTTCTATCAAGTATTTTTTAAGTGCGTTGCAAAAGTCGACAGGTTTTTCAACAGTAATACTACCAAATAGATTTTTGACATCCTTCAAAAGATCTGAAAAATCATGTGATGGTACCGATTTTTTCATGGAAATATTACATTTGTATTGCATATGAGCTCTGAATGACTGATATTCTTTAGAAGGAATTGAATTTCCAAATAAATATTGAATTAAATGTGATAATAATAGTTGATTATAATTTTGATCCGAATGAAACAATGCACTCCATTCAGAAATAGCCTTTAAAAGACTTTCTTCAATATTTATATATTCTTCAATTTCACGCACTACTGAATCTACTAAACTTTTACTATATATGGCATAATCATTATTAAAAAGATCATGCATGTACTCTGTTGGATCTTCAAGATAATCTTGAATTGCATTAATATTTAACGCATCAAAACTTTGTTGATAGGCATAATTTGTTGCTGTATGTGTGTTCATCCAACCAAATCTTAAATAATATTGAAGTTTTTGATCAATAGTGCTTCCTTTAACTGCCATTTTTTGTTTAAATGCTAATAAGATAAACTTAAGTATTTCCTTAGAAAGGCTTTCGTTAGAAAAATCTGTTAAAATTTTCTGAAATGAAGATAATAAATTATTTTTCAGGTGATCTAATTTCTCTTTTTGTTGCTTTTCCCATTCTATAGTATTGTTTCTCAATACAGTATATATTTGTAACCTTAGATATTTCTGTAATAAAAATTTTCATTATTAACATTTCATTTTAATTTAATATACTGTAAATCAATTAATTTTAAAAAAAACAATGATACCTCAAAAAAATCAAATTCAGGTTGAAACTCAATATTATAAGACTGCGTAAAATCAAATAAGCAATCACATAATATCTTAAGCCATTCAATCGCTTGTCCATGCTCAATATGTAAAGATAATTTCTGTTTTGACTCATGAGTAATTCCATTGATAGTTTGTATAATTTTACTTTTAACTTCTTTGGCTAATTTTTTTTTGCCAATATTTGACTTTTTGCCTTTAACCACGGATTTTATTGTATCAAATAATGTCGCATTAACATTTATTATTTTTTGAATTTGTTGTACATCGATATTAATATGTTCATCTAAAGTAGATGGTTTCTTTAAGTTTGTCCAAAAACTACGTTTAAACTTTTCTTTCTCTTTTTGTTCTGAATCTTGACGAATTGAGCTAAATTCACCAATAGCATTGTTAAAGGTTTGTTGAACATGCTGTTTTAGTTTCTCTGGTTGTATTACCATCTGACGAGTGAATTCTTTTTTATCCTCTTCTACTTCTTTCCAAATTTCCTCAAATATTTTTGTACATTTTACTTCATCACCTTTCAAGAGAGCTGTGTTTAATCCTTTAATTTTCTTGCCGACTTTTTCTATCGCACAAGCTGATAACCAAGAATCTTTGTACTCTCTTACTAATGACATCCATTGGGCATCTTGTTCTCTTCTTGCTGCCGCAATCATATTATGAATGAGTCTTTTTCCTTCATCTACAGTACTAGCATCAAATTGTTCCTGCACTAATTCAGAATAATACTTTAAATTCTCTCTTTTCCAATTATCTGCAAGTGAATCCAATTCCATTCTAAATTCTGATTCTATTTGATTCCATTTTGAATAATCTGCTTTAATTTTCTCAACGTATTCATCAATTATATTCTTAGAATGTGAAGTAAAATCCGGCAATCTATTTTCGTGAATAATATTAACAAGGTTACGCATTTGACACCATGCTTGAATTGCTTTAAAGCTTTCAAAATGAAGAAAACTTCCATATGTATTAATTTTGCTCCACACCGTTTTCATATATGGAATAAATCCTAAAGGAAAAAGGTATTATTAAATTATTAATAAAAAAAAGCTACCGTAAAAACTTGACTAAGATACCCGGGTACGATACAAACTTCTCGAACTTCGGGGTACAATATTATGAGGGGTACTTTGATCAAGGGAGGAGGATACAAGCGTATTTGCCGAAATTATTGACGCCGTTCATAAGTTTTGAATTTTCACACACTCACATAAATCAAATTTTATCTCTATTGTATCCCTGGTACGATAAACATTAAAATAATTTATCGGTGTTTCGTACCCAGGATATAATACATTTTTGCCTTTAAAAATACAAGGGTACAATACTCGGGGGTACTTTAGTCAACTGTTTACGGTATTTAATTAGATAAACTACCTTGTACATTCGTAAAATTTTCCAACGAATTATTCTTTTGAAGTAAAGCAGATTTTAAAAGTGATTGTCGTAAGCTTGAAATTTTTGCCGGAAACACCTCCTAAGTTGTAGGTTATTTAATTGTAAAAAAAGTCAAAAAAAAGAAAAAAGAAAACCAAATAAACAAATTACACTTACAGCAGGTAAATTAACATTTTCTGTTTTTCCAATATTGTTAATGCGTGGACGAAAATCATCTTTATAACAAGAGAATGCATTTTCTAGCAAATGAACATCATCTTGTTCTACTGACATAAAATCTTCTAATGAATCTAAGCAGCCAGGAATTTGATCAAACATTTTTCTTAATCCATCAACAATATCTTTAAATGCAGGTTTTTGAGCCTCTATCGTATCAACCATGTCGCGAAGAACAAAATGCAGCCTTGGTTTTGATTGTCTATGTCTCAAAGCATCCAAATGCCATGAAGATACTTCTAAAATATCTCCAATATCCCTTGTTAATCCTTTTGTATTAATGATTACGATTTGAGAACACATTAATGCTAAAAGTGTTATTTTCTTATCGAAGCTGGTACGATGCGTAATATATTTTTGGGCAGTTGAGGCCATTCCTTCGGAATCAAGTATTAATAAATCGATTGTATTTCCGTCAATATTTGCAGTTCGATAACTCATATATACACCTTTTGTACTAAAAAGAACAAATTAAATTTGTATAAGAATTGGAAAACAATTATTTTATGACATATTTACCATCTTGAGGCTGAAGTAGCAAATCCACAATGAAATAAATAATTTAAAAGAGTAGATTTTCCTGAACTTTCAAGGCCAATAACCGAAATAACGATTAATCTTCGTTGAAGGTTTGTCATTAAGTTACTTAAAACATTGGATAAAAATTTTGTTGGAAGAGAACGTAACGATAAGCCATCAAGCAACTGTAAAGGTTCTCCTTCAAGGATCCATGTTTTATACGCTTCTTGTAACTTTTGTGGTTTGACATGATATCTAATTTCAAACCGTTATTAATAATTAATGTTTTCTTTTAAAAATACATTATATTTATTTATTAAATACTTACAAATGTTCTAATCTTGATTTATTACTCGAATATAAATCAGATAATATAATAAATTCACGCCAAAAATCATGGATAGAAATATCATTTTCCTCAATTTTCTTTTTGTTTTCAGTTCTATCACCGTTATCATTATTTTGTAATTCATTTAAATATCTTTTAAAATAATCATCAATTTGACTGGCAAAGTCTCTAATGTTTTCTATATTATTTTCATTAAGTAGGTTTGCGAAATCAGTAAAAATTGACAATGCATTGTCTAACCCAATTTTGTTTTGTTCGCGTCGAGCTTGTTGAATTCTAGTTTGAATCTCTCCCTCGGTCATGAATTTTTCATTTTCCTGTGATTCTGTTGTGGATTTCTTATCATTTAACGCTTCGATCTCATGTTCAAAATAAGTCGCACGAAAAATATCTGATCTTTGTTTAAAATTAATTAATTTCATTTTAGAAGAAAATGAAGATTCCCCTATTTCATGATTCCAAATATTTAAAGAATCATTATTTGGTAATTTAAGGGTTAATTGTGGAAAAATAAATTTTGCTTTAAGGTTTGACAGTTGCTCCAATACATCTTCTTTTTTCTTTTCAAGAAATTGGTTAATGTCCTTAGGAATTTGTTCAATTTTAATACATTCAGATTTAACGTATGGGTCTAGTAACTTTTTTAAGGTCTTCTTGCGCTTGCTGTAAAGATCATTATTTTTTGACTTACTCCAATATATGATGGATATTTTTGAATCATTAGATTCTGACGAAACAGTTTTAATGAGTTTTTTTAATTCGTTAGACGGCGAGTTACCTTCAAAATCTTGATCATTTATGTGTAAAAACATGTAAAATGCAAATTGTGAGAAGCCGCTAATTATACTGAGAAAAATTTGGTTCGGGTCCTCTTCTAAATATACTTCGGCTATAGCGACAGGCTTTCGTCCATTATTTTCCGACGCGGGGTGAAAAGAAATGTCAATTGATCCAGCGGAAGTAATACTCAAATCATCCTCACGGTTTTTGCAGATGACAGGGTAAAGTCTTTTCGAAAATGGCGTGACTGATTCGCATGTGCTTAAATTGAAGGATAATAATAAATGATATTTATCCCGAAGTACTAAACTACGAATTTCTCTTAAAATCTTTAAGCCTTTTTGACTAAATTCACTTTTATTTGTAAATAGTAATGGAATGGGAATGTTTGCTCGAGTAAGTGAAATGAGGACCTTTGTAAGTGCTTTTTTAGGGACCTTATCCAGGAATGCTACAAGATAATCTCTTCCGTTACAATTAGCCAACCGCTTTAATATTTGTGAAGGATCATCAATATTATCAGAAGCAGAACTTTGTCGAATACAATCTTGAATACGTTGTAATGGAATTGTTCTATTTATTATATCAACGATATATGGAAATATTATTCGAAGGATCCCTTGTGTATTATGATATTTCAGATAAGGTACCACTTCGGTTTTAAATACGTCTTCATTTAATTCAGCAGTTACAAAATTTGTAGCATCATAATTGATCGCATCATCACCAAATGTCATTTGGAAAAACTCTTCAAGAGATAAATCGTCTGATGATTCGGATTGTGTTTCTTCATCAGATGAGTCTTCAGATGAATCAGAACTTGTACCTGAAGTATTATTATTATCAAAACCTTGCAAACTTGAAGTCGAATTTAGCTTGACCCGATCATCTATGGAATGAATTTCAAATTTTATTATAAATTCTTTAGATTAAATAAAAAATGATAATTTTTGTTAAAAAAAAGGTATTACCTTTATTTAACTCATTATTCTTTGAATCCAAAATATGAGAAGATAAATATGATTCAAACATTATAAAATAATTCATGGTATTTTGAATTCCATCAAGTGTTTTCAAAAATAATTCTGGTGTAGAATTCTGGACGTTCTTGGTATATTCTTCCTTTAATTCATTGAGAACCTTTACAACATTATTATCAGAGGTTTGGTCGATCTCAAAGAATTGTGGATATTCATCTAAAATAGTTATAAAATTGAAGGAGTCGACGGAAGGCAAAATTTTTACTTGTTCGCTTGAACATTTATTATTATACTTATTAATGATACCTTGGATTACTAATCAAAAAAAAAAAAAATAAAATTAATACCCCTGAACTTTATATGTATTAATATATGAAAAATATTACATACCCCTGAAAAGAACATCCTCCATATTTGTCAGTTGAAGTTGTTGAACGAAATCTTGTTGAATGTTCAACATTGCATTGGAAAATCTATCGAAATTTTTACGAGTAAATTCAAACAAAGCTTGTTCGATGATGAGTTTCTCTGCTAATGTTACTGCTGTTGATATTGCAATATTGAGTTTACTAGAAAACATTATATATAGAAAAAAGATATTAAAGATATTGAATGATTCAAAAATTCAGAATAAACAAAAAATAATTACCTTCGATTTTGCCAGGATTTGCAATTAAACGCCGCATTACCAATAACGCATACGAAACTTTCATTTTGGCCACGTTTTTGGTGGTTTTTATAAAATTCTTTAGTTACTAACAAGTCATTTGAATTCTTTGAAATCGAAATCAAGTTATCGTAATCAACTTTAAAGAATTTAAATCCATCTCTTATAATATTCATAAGCCAAGGATTATTCTTTACCGAATCCAAACTTGGATTTGATTCGATACTATCATATTCAGATTTCGATAAATTAACTTTAAGAAAATTTCGACCATCTTGATGAAATTGTAACAAATATCTAGTTTGAATTAATGATAAGGCTTCCATTTCGTTATTTTGCGAATGATTTTCGACATGAAACTTAATTTCTAACTCGTAATGTTTGGAAACAGCTTTTTTTTCGAACTGGTAATTGTCACAGTAATTATTACCATCTGCGAGAACCAACAAATCGTATCGACTAGTACATTCAGGATCAAATCTGAAATTGATAAAATTTTGGGGTTGCGTTGAATAATTTTTGTCGAAGTCATGTGACAAGCAATATACTGCGGTTGAAAGTATCTTGAAAAAAAAAAAATTACCTTTCGGGAACCAGTTGTACATTTTCATCGAGTTTTGCAATTAATTCCATAAGCTTGTCTTCGAAATCTTCCATGAAATATGCAGTTTGTTTGCCCGAAAAAAATTCTTTGAAGACCGCTGCATGAGATAAGTAATCACGAACACTTTGCGGGAGACGCGAAAATTCAGCTTCATTGACCAAAAAAAGCTGATTTTTAGAATTACGATTTTTATAAACTTCGTGATAAATAAGAATTTGTCCCAAAATTTGTTTCTTAACAAGAATTTCAGACAAAGAAAGAGCGAAGATAAGACCAGAAGGTCCTCCGCTGCAAACAATAATAATTGGTTTTTGAAACATTAAAACTTATAATATTCAGAAAAGATAAGAATTTACGAAGTGAAGGGATCAAATTAATATTTTTGTGAAATTTATAACTTCATTTAAGTTTTCAATAACACCAAATTAGGTTTTATCGACAAGTATCAAGTTGAGTTTTTCCGGATTATTATCATCTGTGCTGTGTAACATCTAACGACATTTCACAGTTCAATTTCGCGTACTTGTAAGAACAAGAGTTCAAAAATATATGTGCGATTTGCAGTAGAAACTACAAAAAAAAAAATATTTTTTGAGTTAAAGTTAAACATGAACATATTTTGCTCAATACATGTTAAACATAAAATAAATTATAAACATTATATTAATATTTTTAGTAGTTTCCTTTCCTTTTGCAGATCCATTCCGATAAAATAAAATATGGAGGCCAAATTTTTTTTTTTCATAGAGTTATGCTGATGGCTAAAATTTATGATCGTTCAAGCACTTCTTTCTTGTTGAGTAGTTGCCTTTTATTCTTTGCTAATTTGATGATATTTAAGAATTAAGAGAAGTGCTCAAGAATTGATTGCGATCTTTATTTAAATTTATAAGCATCATCTCAATCCCTAGACAATTACATTGAGGGAGTTGAGAACTCTTCTTATCATAATTACAAGGAATTTATATATAGTTTACAAAGTCAATAGACATCTTAGTAGAAAGTCGTCAATCAAATTTTTATGTCGTTCTAATGGAAGATCAGCAAAAAATGTCAGACCTAAATTTCAATGTCACAATGTCACCTTAGCTATAATAGAAAGGAATGGTTTTAGGGACAACTCATTTATTTGGTTTGGCTTTATGCTATGACACTTTTGATGACCGCTGTTATTTTATTTTCATAGAACATGATAGATTTCAAAAGTTTTAAATCTCGGAATTTGACTTTCTAGACGCGTATTCATGATCAGAGATAAAAAGAGCAGCCCAATTTTGTAAAAATAAATAAATAGATGGACAAAGTAATTTTAAAATCTCTGAGCAATTACATAAAGATATTATTCTTAAGAGTTTTAATTGTCTTAATCTCTTAATAAGTATTGGTAAGAATAAATATTGATTCACAAAAATAGATTTATAACTAGAAAGTTACAAAAACATCAACTTTATGAATCCTACTATTAAATACAAAATCTGAAAAGAAAGAGTGCTAAAAGTAATATTACGTTCAATATTTCTTATCCCTTTCCTTTCTAAAATAGAAAATACTTGATTTATTTATTTTGTCTAAATTAAGAAAAAATATTTATTTATTATTTAACATCTAATAATATGTTCGATATAATTAATTAATTAACAAAAAAAATGCCTTTAAGTAATGTATTGTATATGAGAGCAATTGTGTAAGTTGCTATTTATACATATTAAAATACTATTAATAATAATGTTGAAAAACATTCAACAAAATTTTATATTTAGATATTTTTAAGTTTATATATTATTATGTATAAATGAAGATTTTAACACTATAATAAGATGTTTTATAGTCTATTAGTGATGAACAAAAACCAAATTTGAACTAAAATTATAGTTTGAAAATTTTTAACGATGAATTATAAACTCTAATTCGATTGCAATTGTGGTGGTTCTTAATAATAGATGATCATTAAAAAACAATAAATAGAAAAGGTTATTTTAGCATTGTTCAATATTAATTTGACGCATAGAGCTGCTTATTAACTTTACGAATGGAGATAATAATTTTGGCATAACTTTTAATTCAGGAAACTCCCTCTTATGATTAATGTCCATCATTGAATTTGAACTGGAAACAGAACTTTGCGAGTCGTCATCATCTTCATGCTTGTCCATTTCAATTTTCAGCCCTTCGTTATCCAATTCGATTCCCACCAAATCATCATCATCATCATCATAATCATCATCGTCGTCATCATCATCGCCGTTGTCGTAATCGTAAATGCTATCCTTATTCACATCATTATACATAATATCCTTGAGACGCATCAATTGTCTCTTCTTTCGCCAAGTATGCCAACTCATTAAATTATCTAATTCTGTTGAAAGAAGGGTTCGTTCTTCAGTTGTCAATACCGTGTCAATTAATTGTTGCACATCTATTTGTTCGGTTAATCCATCACGTATAAAATTAAAAATAGATTCAATCCATTTAAGGAATGAATTGAATAAGCCCGTTGAGTCGTGTGAATACACTGAATGAACAAAAGAATAAAATTTTGGAATATGTCGATGCACCAGCGACACAAATGTTTGGACAACCGATTCAGCCGAACTATACATAACGACGCCTAAAGAATAACGACAGGATATTTTAACGGTTTGAAAAGGAATTATATTCAAAAGAAAAAAAAGGTACCTCTTCGATCAGCTTCTTCGACAACATTAATTAAATCATCCAAAAATTCAGAAAGGTCAGATAAAGTATCGGAAATATTTGCAGCCTTTAAAATCCAAACCGAATTAGTAAATTTAAAAAAAGTAAACTGATTTAACAAATAAACTCACTTTGTATACTTTTGCCAATGGCTCATAGAAGATGGTGATGATGTCTTTCAAGAGATCGCCAGTAATGCCCTAACGCGTCAAATAAAGCGTAAATATAACTTCAGAAAAAAGCGAGTAATACATATGTAGTAATTAATTACCTGAAACAGTAATTCAATCAACATTTTTTTATCTCTTTGACGAACATAGAAAAAGAATAATTTCTTTAAATTGTCTAATAATTCTGTATTATCAATTTTAATATTGTTGATACTTCCAGTAAATCTCGCTACTTGTATAGCCTTTAAATCAGGCGTTAGAAGCTTTGTATGTAATATCGCAAAGATGAGAGCATTGATATCTAGAAAAAATCAAATCAAATAAGTTTATTAAATTATTATTAAAGTTTTTAATCTCATAATATTTTTCAACATACGTTCTTCTTTCGTTTCTCTCATTATTTCGGTCTGAAGTTCACTAGGAGAACATACGAAATTCCGTAATTTTTCACATACTCCATCATCATTTATTTCATCTTCGATAGTTTTAATATCTTTGCCAAGTTCTTTAAGATCTTCGGTCATGCTCATTGAAAGGATCCTATAAAGTAATAGTTAATACGCGTGAGCATTGACAAAGAATTGTATATTTATGAATATAGATCCAAACCTTTGGGCCAAGCTTTTTTGTCCGAAAGGTTGTGCTAGAAATAAGTCTAATATCCCCCTCAATAACGCTACAGGATTTGAGATTTTCATTATGGCCCGAATAGTTTTATATGGCATTATACTATGTGTACGTTTAAGCTGTGCCAAAGTTTCACTACTATTATCAGATCCGATGAAAAGAGAGTATAGGGTAGAAGCAAATCTAAAAAAAAGGGATATATAACATATATATATATATTTTAAATCCCAAACGCGTATTATGTCGAAAAAAAATTAAATAAATTGATTTATAATAACCCTATTTCGCCCCACTCGATAATTTTTTGATATGTTATTGGTAAGTTGAAAGCGTTTGGAGTCTCTTGGATTGTATAAATAACCTTGGATAATCCATCTATTGAAATTACAGAAATAAGATTACTGTCATGAGATCCAAATAAATTGTATTAATCGAATAATTACCTGAATTCATGACTTGTTGTTTGAATTCCGAAACATGATGTTCGAGTTCTTTGGCACGATTTTCCGCCTCTTCATTAAATTTTCTTAGTTGTTCATCTCTAATTGAATCCAACTCTCGTCTTTCCGCTATATCTCTCTTTTCATACTCGTTCAAAGTAAGGGAGGAATCGGTTAAGAAAACAAACAATATTCTTGATCTGGAAATTTCTCTAATGGAAAGGAGGGAACGTAGATATGCGCGTAAATTTTGACGATTTTTCTCATGCTGGTATTGACCGTTAGAAGATGGATCATCCGATACTGATTGTGATTTATTGAAAGTCGAAGATGTTTGTTCTTTAACTTTAGTTGGCAGTTGAGGAATATCCATTGATGCAAATTCACTTTTAAGCTTTTTTTTTTAGAAGAAAAAAAGGAGAAAAAAAAAAAACGATTTAAATATATATATATATATATATTTTTTTTTTTTTTTGGTTTGCTTGTTTTAATTTACATGAAACTTACTTTGCTATATAAATTTTTAAAATCTTTATAACGTCTCGCAACGAAAATTATTTCATTGAAAGTTTGATGTTTTACTTGAATTATATATTCCGAATGGGTATGTTCACGAATTCGATGTTTCTCCAATATAGTCCTCACGGACACTATATTAATATTCCATCCATTAATGGTACATGACAAATCATCTAATAATTTTCGATTGCGATTCTCATAAGCACTAGTAAAATCAACTTTAATTGACTCATCTTTTCCAGCAGTGGTTTTTATTCCAGCGTTAAGTAGTAATGTAAGTTCGTTGACGATTTTTTCTCCCAATTTCCTTCTTTTAGTTCTTTCGTCTCTTGTAGAAGTAGTACTGATATTTTTTTTAGCAAATTCGTTCAAGAATTCTGATAATTTAGACCAAAAAGTACTATCGGCTTTTTGAAGAAACGGGAATGTGAGTACAAAACGACTAAATATGAATCGTAGAAATGGGGTGTCAGTTTCCACGCAATCTTTATTGGCAAATGGTGGGCCTAGATTTTTTAAAGCGCCATATTGCGAGAGTGATTGGATTTCGGATTTTATTTGCCTAGAAATAAGTTCTTTTTTCAAATAATGCACTTGTAATGGTGATAATGGAGTCTGTATCACAATGGGTAAAAAAAAATATATATATATAAATATTTATTTTTTTTTTTCCTAAATTAAATTAAACATTTTTTGATAAAATTCGCATATTTACCGGATTTATTTCGTCTTTACTCTCAATCATGGTTATCAAAAATTTTATTTATATTATACAAATTATTCGAGCTCCTTATATATACTTTTTATGATATGCTATGACAATATATTTATTTAAACTAAGTGGTATGACGAAATCATGACGTAAATAGAAAATCATTTAATCTGTGTAAGTCTAGTAGTTAATACAGTGAAAAAACCTTAAATTTTTTTTTTTCTATTTTTGTAACCAGATTAACCTTAGGATTAAGCCGCAGTAAATTTTATGCTAAAATGCGTAACACTAAATGTCACTTTTCACGTGATTATCGGCCGGTTTTTTTGATTCGGACATGTATGCTTATGTATGCGCGAATTTATACATTCTTAGACATGATTGGCAAATCACATCAAATTTGACATTTTAGTAAACAATTAAAAAAAAAAAAAAAACAGTGAACCTCTAAAAAAAATAAAAATAAAATAAAAATAAAATAAAAAAAATAAAAATAAAATAAAAATAAAATAAAAAAAAATAAAAATAATAAAAAAGAGGAAAGAGAGAAAGAAAATCTACTACCTCTGTTGGCCGGAAAGTCTGGTCTTTGCTCAAAACGATACAAAAAATTTCAAAGGAAACTTGAATTAGCCAAAAATTCCGGACTATGTATATTTGATCCGATCGACAAAGATTTTCGGAAATAATTTGACCAAAAACCTGTTTTTACTTTATTAGATGTTCATTTATTAACTAAATGGGCATAGTTATAAATTTATAAATGGACCTAGACAGAAATTTTTATTCCTAAATGTACGCTCTACATTCTTCTCTAAATAGTAAAAATTTCTAAAAATATATACAGTCTCTATAAAAAATAATAAATTAATGCTTCAAAATCCTCTTATCGTTGTTTGCAGCAGAGGACCTTCTGGTCTCATCTTCGCTCTCTCTTTATATGAAATTCTTGTTAAGAAGAATATCTTGGGAAAAATTTTCATTTATCATGAACATTATAAAACTCATAATACTAAAAATCGACTTTTTTTGGTCAATGAGGATGAATTTTTGCGTCTTCCGCAAAGTGTCCGTAAACACGTATATCAATCATCGGTCTTTAAAAACATTTTTTCAGACCAAGAAACTGCGTATTTTATGAACGAGTTCGAAGACAAACTTTTGGAATTGTTTGCAAAACTCAAATCAAAAGAAAATATAAAATTGGTTCAAGAAAGGTATAAAAATATATAAAATGAACGGTTTCTTTTTTTTTTTTTTTAGAAAATTCTTCAACGATACCAAATTTATGCCTATGCTTCCTTGTTTTCATATTGTATTTAATCGCAGATTTGATCCTTCACGTGTCGATCGATATGACTTGTTGGTTCTCGCAGATGAGCATGACAGTTTCCAGTTTGAAAAAGAAGCCATTTCCAAATGTTATGAATTGGAAATTAAGTTTCACGTTTCCGAAAATCAATTGCAAAGCGGCGAAACGGAAGCCCTATCATTACTTCAAACTAGATACTCGTTGCAATTCCAACATGATAATCAAAGTTTGCTTAAAGTAAATTTATCGAAATCCGAATACGAAAGTATTGAATTTGATCCGAGTTTGGATTCGATAAAGAATAATCCTTGGTTCATGAATGTCATAAAAGATGGATTTGAATTCTTTGAAGTTTATAACTATGACTTGGTTTCAATCTCAAAGAACTCTGATGATGACTTGTTGGTAACAAAAAAATTTTATAATAACTACAAAGAAAGTTTTGTATGCGTGGTTGGTGATGCGGCATTTAACTGCGTATCCTGGCAAAGTACAAGGTATTATTTTTAATTAATTAATTAATTATTATTATTATTATTTTTGAATTTGTGTTGTTCTAATTATCTTCAATGTCTTTAATACCATCATATTCCAGGAAACTCGATATCGCGATATCAACGGCAGTTACGTTAGCCGAGAAACTTACCAACGGACAAACATTATTAGAAATTACTCGTGAAAATCTCGATAAATTCTCTAATGCAATGATTAACATTCGACAAGATCTTGTTCAACAACTTCTTTTGACAAATATGGAGAATATTATTTTCAAGGGTATTTTTCTTCAAATAAAATTGTTAATACGATTTAGGATACAATACAATTTGCTTACAAGAATTAATATAAGCTTTTTATCCTTTGATTAGTTATTTACGGTATCATTGATAAATACAACAAAAAGTGTTCAAGTGGACAAGAAAAAATGATGTCATCTGTCGATTCCTTCAAACTTATAACCATTCTAGATAAATATCCACAATTGTTTGAGATCGATCAAACCCCTGATGATGATGTTGTAAAGATTCTCAATGAATTAAGAGAAGAATATACCAAGAACATTCAAAGTTCTACGCCAGAATTATTCTTGAAAACACTTGAAAGAATTCAATATGCTATGAATTATTTTACAATTTTTGAATCACATTTGTCTTCTTTCATCTCAGACAATGAATTCAATAAAGGTGTTCTATCTTTAATCTCCAACCTTTTTTTTTTTTTTTTTTTTTTAAAAAAAACAAACATCATTTTATTAAATCATATACAAATTTTTTTGAAAATTAAATCTTTAGACGATTGGGTCGAGCTGAATTCATCTTTAATCTTGCGAGACATTGATTCTAATAATTCTAATAAGAACGTTGAAATATCGGATGCAAGTTCTGAAGATTCTGATGAATCATCCGATGAAGAAACTCAACAAGATTTATCCCTTGAAGAGTTTTTCCAAATAACTTTTGGTGATGAAACGATCAATTATGACGCTACCAATTTTGTAACCGATGAATTAAGTGAAGACATATTTATAACCGAAGTGGGACCTTACCTTAAAGATCATAAACAAGGAATCCTTCGAAATATATTTCCATATATCGTAGATATAATAAATAGGACCATCCCGTTGCAACGTATACAAGGTTGCATTCGACAAATTTCTGCTTCTGACAATATTGACGATCCTTCACAAATATTAAAGCGGTTGTCCAATTGTAAAGGAAGGGATTATCTTGTAGCTTTCTTGGATAAGGTTCCTAAAAGTTCACTTACGAAGATTCTCCTTTCGCTTACTCGAGCAAATATTCCCATTCCATTATTATTTACGAATAATTGTGAATTTAGTCAAAAAGGTTTAAAGGTTTTAAGAGAAATTCGTAATTTAGTACTTCGGGATAAATATCATCTATTATTATCCTTCAATTTAAGTACAAGCGAATCTACCACGCCATTTTCGAAAAGGCTTTATCCTATCATTTGCAAAAACCGTGAGGATGATTTAAGTCTTACTTCCACTGGATCAATCGACATTTCCTTTCATTCCGCGTCGGAAAATTATGGACGAAAGCCTGTCGCTATAGCCGAAGTGTATTTAGAAGAGGACCCTAACCAAATTTTTCTCAGTTTAATTAACGGCTTCTCAAAATTCGCATTTTACATGTTTGTACACGTAAATGATCAAGATTTTGAAGGTAACTCGCCTTCTAATGAATTAAAACGACTCACCGAAACCATCTCGCTAGATTCCAATGATTCAAAAATATCGGTCATATATTGGAACAGACCAACAAAGAATGATCCTTTTAGTAAGCGCAAGAAGAATATTAAAAAATTATTCAAGTCGCATCTCAAACCTGAATGTGTTAAAATTGAACAAATTTCTAATGACATGAATCAATTTCTCGAAGATAAAAAGGCTGAACTAACGAAATCATTATCACAACCTGATGCAGGATTTATTTATCCGCATTTGGTTCTAAAATTAGAAACTTTAGAAAAAAAATGTTTAAACATTTGGTTACCTGAAAATTTAGAAGAAACATTCGCATATTCTATGAAACAAAAAAAATTTTCCACTCGCTCGGATTTATTCCCGGCAACAGATTTGGAAAATAAAATAGAATCATTAAAAGAAAAGAAGAACAAATCTCGACCACAAGATCATTCGGATTATATTTCAGAAGAACAAATTAACAAGAAAATTCATCAATTTAGAAATGAACAAGTCAATCTTTACTTTAGCAAACCGATACCAATCCTTTTAGAATTCGCAAAGATAATTAAAGAAAATGAGATAATTGAAATGCGAAAATTTGCTGGTTTAATCGATAAATTCTTCAAGGACCATTTGGTCGAGCTTCAAAAATCAAACGAACATAATGAGTATGCGCACAATAAGCAAATGCTTGAAGAAAATGATATATCTGTTCATGATATTTGGAAGGAATTTATTATATTATCAAATATAAAAGAAGAAAAGTATAAGAAGACGACTGTATTGGAAAAATTGTGAGTAATATCTTAAATTGGTTCATTTATGATTTGTTATCGCTACTAATATATGAATTATCTGCACAGATATGATGTTGCACCGCAAAAGTTATCCGAGGCATTTACAACGTGGATCATTGAGGGGGAACCTATTCAGATACTTGATGGAATATCTTTAAAACCACTTCCTACAAATTTTTTATCATATACATTATGCAACATCATGTACAATACAAGTCGAAAGCTAATAATAATTTCAATAATTGGATTTGAAAGTTCCGGAAAATCGACTCTTTTAAATTATTTATTCCAATGTAGTTTTGCTACATCAGCAACACGATGGTAATTATAAATCTTTTTTTGATATTCGCAAGCTTAAAGAAAATTTGATATGAAATGATAATAATTCTTTTTTTTTTTTTATTTAGCACAAAGGGATTGTATCTAAGTTATCGAAATACAACTTTTGATGATAATCCGATTGATCTTTTAATCCTTGATTCCGAGGGAATGAATTCAACTGCGCAAAAATACATTACAACCCGAAACGATTTCGATAAAAAGTTTACATTATTTGCCTTGATGTGTTCTCATATCATAATAATTAATACCAAAGGATTGACTAGAGACATTGGTGATATTTTAGAAGTGTCTTCATGGCATTTGGATGGGTTAAGAAATAGAAAATCCAAACCACGACTTCACTTTGTACTTCGGGACATGAATAATAACGCTAAAGATTTTCAACCATTTCAAGATATTGTTAATAGCCTAAAGAAAATGTTTCAACAAATTCCTGGATGTGTGGAATCTTTGGAGGATTTTATGACTATACAAGAAGAGGATATTCATCTATTAACAAGTGCATTTCATTCTTATTCCGATGATTTTTGTCCAACAACCGGTAGAATTAATGAAAGATATAATATAAATGTGCCAGCCGTAAGTAGTTTATTCATCCTCTTTTCGCCCCCCAAAAAATTTTATCAAATTAAAATTTATGTTGATTATTTATAGGAAACGTTTTCCAATAAAACTTCTATTTTGCGACATTCTCTCTTAAATTCTGCTACATCTCAAAATGCTAATTTTAATATATTCAACAATATCCAAGGTTTTATACCGTACATGAAAACGGTTTGGGATAATATTGGTATACATGGAAATTTTTTGCACTTTGAAGACTTTAAATCAATAAATGCATGGCATCAAATGCGTTACTTGGTTAATGAAATCAAAGGAATCGATTTAAAAGAATTTAGACATCAAGCGAAAGATAAAATTAATGAAAATGTCGAAAGGTTAGAGGTAGATCATTCCAAATGGGTTGAAGTTGAAACCAACGTACGAAAAGATTTAGATGAGCTTCAAGATGAGTACAACAAAATATGTATGAAAAAATATGATTCCAAATTGCAAAATCAATTTGACCTTCACATATTTAATGAAGGTAAAAGACTCATTTATAATATGATCGCAGAAGAAAGGATGGAATGTGACACGTTATGGTTAATATCAGCTTGCGAATATAAGGATTCTTGGTTATCAGATTGTGCGATCAAAAAAGTTGGGAATAAAATTGAAAAGCTCATAGGAAATAGTCATTTAAATGATTTAAAATTGATAAAATATGATGAGATTTTTGAAGAAATTTGGAATGAAGTAGAACACGATAAAATGATATTTGATCAAGATATGATATTGACTTTGGAAGATCTTAAACCTTTCATCTCAAAAACTTTCAATAATGCCATCGAAGAATGTTATACAAAGGTCTGTCAAAATACCGAGAACAAAGAACAAGTAAAATTTAAAAGGAATTTCTTTAAAATTCTCAAAAAACCCGCGACATTTGAGGAAAGTATTCGAATGAATCAGTTTACCATAAAAGAAGCGTTTGAAATTGAAAATATTGCAGAGGATCCTGACACGAATAACAATGTGCTTAAAAATAAATTTAATAAATTTAAACGGAATTTGATTGGCTTTACAAGTAATAAAACAAATACGAAGATAGATTATAAGGCTACAGCATCCGTAAAAACAGAAATCGCAAAGAATATACTCGATAAATTTAATAAGGTCATCAAAAAGATTAAAACTGAATTAGCAGATAATAATTCTCTGCGAATTGATTCAACGCAAGCAGTAAAATGTTTAGAAACGTTATGTAATTTTTTCTTCGATATTACCAACGATGAACATAATGGAACTTTCATCACATTTAAAGATGATGATTTTAATATCTTTGAGGTGATTTGAATGTTTTAATTTTAATTAGCGAGTCCTCCGTTTTAATTTTAAAAAAAACTAATTGAATGAATTTTTTTTTTCTTCTAATAATAGAAATATTCAAGGATAGAAGTTTTCCAAAGTTTATCAAATAATATTGATAAGTGGAATGATAAACAACAGAAAAATCTAGAAGGCTTAAGACAAAATCTAATCATATCATTTGAAAAAATTTTATCTTATCAATCCGGGGAAAATATTTCAAAAGAATTTACCAAATATATTGTACAAGCGATAAGACCGAAGGTTGACAAGATAGAAAATGATATCACCCAAAGATGTAAAGAATATATTAAAAAAAGTTGGAATGATACCCGTACTGCAACAACAAATGCTTTTGACATGAGTTTTGGAAAGTTGGATTTGGCAGCTGTGAACCAATATCTGAACGATCCAACCCAATACATGTTAAACTTAATGAAAATGGAATTTATGGTATTTTCAGATGTGATTATTTATGATAAATTGCAAGAAGTCGATGAAACGATTAGATATACTCATGAAACTCTCTTAAATGACTTGAAAGAGTGGATGGGGCTATTTGATGAGAACAAACATTATGATGAATTTAAACTAAGTTATCTTCTTACTTATTTATCAGGGAACTCCCATGATCATGAAGAATTAACAAATACCTTGTTTATGAAATATGGGATCGTTTTGAAGCAGAAGACAAGCTCACATGATTTTTCCAAGATTCTAAAAGATGTTACTCACCTTTTGAACAGTTGCATTGTGCAATATCCAGTTTACTTTTTTAATACACTTTTTAACGAATTGAAAGAAGAATTTCAAAAGCTTTATAGAGATTGGAATGATCAAGAGAGAGAGAAAGTACAAAAAATATTGGAAAGTACAGTGATAGGACTAAGTGAAAATCTTTTGGATAAGATTGGGTGCAAAGAAAGGTGTCCATTTTGTTCTTCAAAATGTGAATTACCCAACGATGGACATGAAAAACATCATGTCACCAATCATTTATTTCCAGCTTTCTATGGTGTTTGTTCGGAACATTACCGTCATCCGATTTTATTTTCATGTACCGAAGGTGCGGTGCATGAAAATGTATGGGGTTACGCTTATCTTGGTCCAGAATTATATTCGTTGGATGAATTTTTGAAAAAATTTCATCCGGAATGGCATTTATTTCAACGTTCTGAGCCAACCGATGAAAATATTGTAAAAATGCGTGCTGTTTGGTGGAAATTAAGACAAACCTTATGTTTAAGAAATAAAATGATTGATAATACTGATCCATCATGGGGATCCTTGTACGGAAGTCTCATCCCCGAATAACGAGTGAAATTAATTTCTTTCTAGTAAAAAAATTCCTTTTTTTTTTTTTTTTGTAAACTATCAATAAATATCAATATAAAATTTTCCTAAATATACAAGATATTGCATAAACAATTAATTCTTAACCTATTCGTAATATGAAAATTTAAAAAATTCATAGGATTTAAATGTCCTGAATTTTGCAAGTTTCGGCACATTAACGGTGACATTTCTTCTTTCCTATTTTATGAGTATTGTAATGGAGCATTATAACCGTTTTATATTAATATATACAGTAAATAATTTAGATTAATATGGTAAACCGATTTTTTTTTTGTTTGAAAAAAAAAATGGAATAAATATTTCAACCTTGTCAATTAAATAGAATAAATATCCAAAAGAGCTTGATACAATGTTAAAAAAGAAAGGATATCTATAAAATTCGTTTTCAACATTCAAATATCGGACAAGTTTAACTGAGCTTTTACCTTTTCATTTCTTTTTTCTTATTTATCAAACATGGTGAGGAATTTGATCGATTCATAAATACGGATGGATTGTAACACATCATTAATAATCAAAACTAAGCTTTGCTAGGCATGATTACCAATTCCTACATATGCATGCATATGGCTCCATCAAGCAACGCACGAAGGAAT